GTAAATCTAAAGGAAATTACGCAGAAAATTGTATAGTGTATGGCCAGCACTAAGTGTAGGCAGGAGATGAGGAGGACTCTCAGGCAGGAGATGAGGAGGACCCTCAGGCAGGAGATGAGGAGGACTCTGAGGCAGGAGATGAGGAGGACCCTCAGGCAGGAAATGAGGAGGACTCTCAGGCAGGAGATGAGAGGACTCTGAGGCAGGAGATGAGGAGGAATCTCGGGCAGGAGATGAGGAGGACTCTCGGGCAGGAAATGAGGAGGACCCTCGGGCAGGAGATGAAGAGGACTCTGAGGCAGGAGATGAGGAGGACTCTCGGGCAGGAATGAGGAGGACTCTCAGGCAGGAGATGAGGAGGACTCTGAGGCAGGAGATGAGGAGGACTCTCGGGCAAGAAATGAGGAGGACTCTCGGGCAGGAAATGAGGAGGACTCTCGGGCAGGAAATGAAGAGGACTCTCGGGCAGGAGATGAGGAGGATTCTCGGGCAGGAGATGAGGAGGACTCTCGGGCAGGTGATGAGGAGGACTCTCGGGCAGGAGATGAGGAGGACTCTCGGGCAGGAGATGAGGAGGACTCTCGGGCAGGTGATGAGGAGGACTCTCGGGCAGGAGATGAGGAGGACTCTGAGCCAGGAGATGAGGAGGACTCTGAGGCAGGAGATGAGGAGGACTCTCAGGCAGGAGATGAGGAGGACTCTCAGGCAGGAGATGAGGCGGACTCTGAGGCAGGAGATGAGGAGGACTCTCAGGCAGGAGATGAGGAGGACTCTCAGGCAGGAGATGAGGCGGACTCTGAGGCAGGAGATGAGGAGGACTCTCAGGCAGGAGATGAGGAGGACTCTCAGGCAGGAGATGAGGAGGACTCTCAGGCAGGAGATGAGAAGGACTCTCAGGCAGGAGATGAGGAGGACTCTCTAACCTTCCCTGTGACACAGAGGCAAGAAAAGTGTACATCTAAGGAGTTGTGCATCCTAGGCATGCTGCATGCTCAATACAAACCTAATTCAAGGACACAGGGCATGTGTAGTATGCCCTGTCCCTCTACCCCTCTGCTAATACCCCCTATGCCTGCCAGAAATTTGCTGGGCAAATGCAGTCGTTGTAGAAGCTGCTGTCAAAAAATTAACCATCTGACACAATGTTTATAAAGGAGAGATAGAGAGATACAAAGTAACATTGTTTATAAACATCGATCAGACGGGAGATAGAGAGATACAAAGTAACATTGTTTATAAACATCGATCAGACGGGAGATAGAGAGATACAAAGTAACATTGTTTATAAACATCGATCAGATGGGGAGATGGAGAGATACAAAGTAACATTGTTTATAAACATCGATCAGACGGGAGATAGATACAAAGTATTATGTTTAGATTTCCCTAACCAGCCTTCATTGTTTCCTTCCTCCCCTTTCTTCTCTTAACAATTCTTTTTCTTTTTTTACTTCTTTTCAAATCCCTAATATTTAAACTTTGTTTTGTTTTTCATTTGTTTTGAGTGTGGTTTTTTTTGCGGCGTTTTTTAAAAAAAAGCCTTTATTTAGCCTTTATTTATAAATACCTTTACAATTTTTTGTTCCAGAATCATAATTTCAAACAAGGTGATTGATAGAATAAAATGTATCCTTTGTATCTCCAGGAACACTCCTTTTTTGTGACGTCACACTGATCAAGTAAATGTATTTTGTGACATATTTTGTCAATGGGATGTAGTAATGACATATACTGTACAAGTGACTCTAATGTGCCTCATGTCTCCTAATGCCTTCCAGGACTTCCTGTGCTCCTTGTGTCCCTAAGTGCACAGGGCCGGGACAAGGGGTGGGCAGGAGGGGAAGTTGCCCTGGGCACAATAATTTCCTGTAAGGATGGGGGTGCCTTCCTTCTGTTACAAGGATGACAGGAGCAGTGACAGTGGCATCGCTACTACTGTCAGCCCAGCACTGGGATTGGTGAGAAGAAGAGGAGAGAGCTGGGAGGAGGTGCGGGCTGTGCTCTCTCTCCCTTCTTCCTGAGCAGCGCCCCTGTAATAATAAGTTGTTCACAGTAATACAGGAGCTGCACTAGCAGGAAGGAGGAGGAGGAGGGAGAGCACAGCCCACAGCCAAGCACAGAAATGTTCAGGAGAGAGCCAGTAGAGGAGTAGAATTTGGGCCCTGGGCACTGGTTGACCTTGTCTCGGCACTGCTAGTGCACTTCAGAACTTCCTATACCAAACAGTACCCCCATGACTCCAAGTGCACCCCCTGAGTATCCTGTGTTGTCTAGAGACTCCAGTGCTCCCCTGTGTAAACCCCATGACTCAAAGTGCACCCCCTGAGTTTCCTGTGTCGTCTAGAAACTCCAGTGCTTCCTTGTGTACCCCCATGTCTCTAAGCACACCCCCTAAGTACCCTGTGTCATCTAGAGACTCCAATGCTCCCCTGTGTAACCCCCATGACTCCAAATGCACCCCTGAGTTTCCTATGTTGTCTAGAGACTCCAGTGCTCCCCTGTGTACCCCCATGACTCCAAGCGCACCCACTGAGTATCCTGTGTCATCTAGTGACTCAAGTGCTCCTCTGTGTACCCCTGTGACTCTCAGAGTGCACCCCAAGAGTATCCTGTGTCATCTAGTGACTCAAGTGCTCCTCTGTGTACCCCTGTGACTCTCAGAGTGCACCCCCAGAGTATCCTGTGTCATCTAGAAACTCCAGTGTTTCTCTGTGTAACCCCCATGACTCCAAGTGCACCCCCGAGTACCCTGTGTTGTCTAGTGACTCCAGTGTTCACCTGTGTACCCCCATGACTCCAAGCACACCCCCTGAGTATCCTGTGTCATCTAGAGACTCCAGTGCTCCCATGTGTACCCCCATGACTCCAAGCGCACCCCCTGAGTATCCTGTGTCGTCTAGTGACTCCAGTACTCCCCTGTGCACCCCTGTGACTCCCAGAGTGCACCCCTGAGTATCCTGTGTCATCTAGAGACTCCAGTGCTTTCCTGTGTACCCCCATGGCTCCAAGGGCACCCCTGAGTATCTTGTGTTTTCTAGAGACTCCAGTTCTTCCCCTTTGTACCCCCATGGCTCCAAGCGCACCCCCTGAGTATTCTGTGTCATCTAGTCACTCCAGTGCTCCCTTGTGTACCCCCATGACTCCAAGTGCACCCCAAAGAATCCTGTGTCATCTAGTACCTCCAGTGCACCCCTATGTACCCCCATGACTCCCAGAGTGCTCTATTGCACCATGTGTAACATAGTGACTCCAAATACATCCTGTGCACCGCCATGACTCCTGCATCTGCACAATTCCTGGCCAGGGGCGGACTGACCATTTGGAAACTCGGGCACTGCCCGAGGGCCCGGGGTCAGTAGGGGGCCCCATGAGATGCCCCTGGTACCTTTTTCATAGGCTTTTTTGAGTTTGGGCAAGGACACAGGGGCCCCATGATCCCCTATTGCCCGGGGGCCCCATGAGTTGTCAGTCCTCCCCTGTTCCTGGCATTGGTTGGCCTATGTTCTACCTTCATTACTCACGGCTGCTTCACTACCCTCATGTACCCTCCTAAAATTACCCAGACTACCTACCTCCTCCCAGTGGATATGGACCCCAAGTGTTTGGAGTGGTAAGGTGCAGGAATGTTTGGGTCTGGATCTCGGTGTTGGGTACGTCACTTTTGGTGTTTATCAATAAACACACACCAGAGGAAGTGGCATATCAACTGGCAGAGGAGCCGCTGCTGGGGGTACATAGCGAGGATTACACTTCCATGTGCTACTCACTTTGTCTCCATCTCAACTCATTTCCGGAGTTGGGACATAAGGTGCGCACAACAAGCTGCTCCGCGACCTCTGACCTGGAAGTGATTTTTCTCCACCATATGGAACCATGATCAAAGCTGGAAGTCCTATACTCATTATCACAATGAATCTGATCTCCAGACAAAGAAAACATGTCCTGAGGGGGGCTGCCAGCTGCACGGTATACCGCCTGTACTGAACCTCAACCTTCAGCAGCTGAGTGATGGGCCAAACCAATATTAGTTCCCATAATGCCCCTGGAGGAGGGCAAGATAGGATGGCAAGATAGGATGGCAAGATAGGATGGCAACAGCACACATTTACCTGCAAGAGATTAAGTGCCCGGTGATACCGATGTGATTTGCAAAATGAAATTGCGTCTGCAATCGCGTCTAATGACTGTGCTTGTCAGTGTCTTAACGTGCGATTTGCCGCGGTGCGATTTCAAAATTAGTTGTTGGATTACCTTTTCTGGAGTTTTATTGCCATTTCACATACATAGAATATTATGGAAATCACGGTGAAATCATTGAAAATCTTCACAAGTCGCGATAAGGTTTTCAAAAATCGCACCTGAAATCAAGTTGAAATTGCACATAAATCATGCGATTTTAAAGCGGCATGGCCAGGGTGTTAGTCAATAAGCTCCACAGGTGTCTCTGATAAATGTCCCCATAAAGGTGTCTCTGATAAATGTCCCCATACAGGTGTCTCTGATAAATATCCCCATAAAGGTGTCTCTGATAAATGTCCCCATACAAGTGTCTCTGATAAATATCCCCATACATAATAAATATCCCCATACGGTGTCTCTGATAAATATCCCCATACAGGTGTTTCTGATAAATGTCCCCATACAGGTGTCTCTGATAAATATCCCCATACAGGTGTATCTGATAAATGTCCCCATACAGGTGTATCTGATAAATGTCCCCATACAGGTGTCTCTGATAAATGTCCCCATACAGGTGTTTCTGATAAATGTCCCCATACAGGTGTCTCCGATAAATGTCCCCATACAGGTGTTTCTGATAAATGTCCCCATACAGGTGTCTCCGATAAATGTCCCCATACTGGTGTATCTGATAAATGTCCCCATACAGGTGTCTCTGATAAATGTCCCCATACAGGTGTATCTGAAAATGTCCCCGTACAAACATATATGACAAATTTCTATGTAAAGGTACAGTATATTGCCAAAAGTATTGGCCCCGCCCTCCATATCATGTGATTCAGGTGTTCCAATCCCCTCCATATCATGTGATTCAGGTGTTCCAATCCCCTCCCAATCATGTGATTCAGGTGTTCCAATCCCCTCCCAATCATGTGATTCAGGTGTTCCAATCCCCTCCATATCATGTGATTCAGGTGTTCCAATCCCCTCCATATCATGTGATTCAGGTGTTCAGATCCCCTCCATATCATGTGATTCAGGTGTTCCAATCCCTTCCCAATCATGTGATTCAGGTGTTCCAATCCCCTCCCAATCATGTGATTCAGGTGTTCCAATCCCCTCCCAATCATGTGATTCAGGTGTTCCAATCCCCTCCATATCATGTGATTCAGGCGTTCCAATCCCCTCCATATCATGTGATTCAAGTGTTCCAATCCCCTCCATGGACACAGGTGGATACAATCATCCCCCCTAGGCATGCAGACGGCTTCTACAAACATTGGTGAAAGAATGGGTCGCTCTCAGGAGCTCAGTGACTCCAAGCGTGGTCCCGTGATAGGTGGCCACCTGGGCAATAAGTCCATCCGTGACATTTCCTGGCTACTAAATATTCCACGCTCAACTGTTAGTGGGATTATAACAAAGTGGAAGCAACTGGGAACAACAGCCACTCAGCCACCAAGTGGTAGGCCACGTCACATGACAGGGCGGGGTCAGCGCATGCTGAAGCGCACAGTGCGCAGAAGTCGCCAACTGTCTGCAGAGTCAATAGCTAAAGACCTCCAAACTTGGTGTGGCCTTCAGATGAGCCCAACAACAGTGTGTAGAGAGCTTCATGGAATGGGTTTCCATGGCCGAGCAGCTGCATCCAAGCCTTCCATCACCAAGTGCAATGCAAAGCGTCGGATGCCGTGGTGTAAAGCACACTGCCACTGGACTCTAGAGCAGAGGAGACATGTTCTTTGGAGTGACCAATCACACTTCTCTGTCTGGCAATCCGATGGATGTGTCTGGGTTTGGTGGTTGCCATGAGAATGGTACTTGCCTGACTGCATTGTGCCAAGTGTAAAGTTTGGTGGAGGGGGGATTATTATGTGGGGTTCCTTTTCAGGGGTTGGACTTGGCCCCCTAGTTCCAGTGAAGGGAACTCTTAAGGCGACATTTTGGACAATTTGTTGCCCCCAACTTTGTGGGAGGAGTTTGGAGATGGCCCCTTCCTGTTCCAACATGACTGCCCCCCAGTGCACAAAGCAAGGTCCATAAAGACATGGAGGAGCCAGTTTGGGGTGGAGGAACTTGACTGTCCTGCACAGAGTCCTGACCTCAACCCCATAGAACACCTTTGGGATGAATTAGAGCGGCGACTGCGAGCCAGGCCTCCTCCCCCGACATCAGTGCCTGACCTGACAAATGTGCTTCTGGAAGAATGGTCCAACTTTCCCATAGACACCCTCCTAAACCTTGTGGACGGCCTTCCCAGAAGAGTTGAAGCTGTTATAGCTGCAAAGGGCGGGGCCACCTCAATATTGAACCCTACGGGCTAAGACTGGGAGGGGCCATTAAAGGTCATGTGTGTGGAAAGGGCGGGGCCAACTCAATATTGAACCCTACGGACTAAGACTAGGAGGCCATTACAGGTCATCTGTGTGGAAAGGGCGGGGCCAACTCAATATTGAACCCTACGGACTAAGACTAGGAGGCCATTACAGGTCATGTGTGGGGAAAGGGCGGGGCCAACTCAATATTGAACCCTACGGACTAAGACTTTAGGGGAGCCAGATTGGAAAATGTCCTGGCATCAGTGGGAGTAAACAATGCCCCATCTTTTGTGTTAGTGAGAGGAATTCCGCCCCATTGATGGTATCATTGGGAGATGTTGTGCCACATCGTTGGTATCATTGGGCCCCATTCTTGGTATCATTGGGATGAACTGTGCCCATCATTGGTGTCATTGGGCCTCATCCTTGCTTTCATTGGGATGAACTGTGCCCCATCATTGGTGTCATTGGGCCCCATTCTTGTTATCATTGGGATTAACTGTGCCCCCATTCATTGGTGTCAACTTGGCCCATTCTTGGGCTTCATTCATCATTGGGATGAACTGTGCCCCATCATTGGTGTCTTTGGTCCCCATTCTTGGTATCATTGGGATGAACTGTGCCCCATCATTGGTGTCTTTGGGCCCCATTCTTGGTATCATTGGGATGAACTGTGCCCCATCATTGGTGTCTTTGAGCCCCATTCTTGATATCATTGGGATGAACTGTGCCCCATCATTGGTGTCATTGGGCCCCATCCTTGGTTTCATTGGGATGAACTGTGCCCCATCGTTTGTGTCATTGGGTACAATTCTTGGTATCATTGGGATGAACTGTGTCCCATCTTTGGTGTCATTGGGCCCCATTCTTGTTATCATTGGGATTAACTGTGCCCCATCATTGGTGTCTTTGGACCCCATTTTTTGCATCATTGACATGAACTGTGCCCAATCATTGGTGTCATTGGACCCCATTCTTGGTATCATTGGGATGAACTGTGCCCCATCATTGGTGTCTTTGGGCCCCATTCTTGGTATCATTGGGATGAACTCTGCCCCATCATTGGTATCATTGTCCCCATTCTTGATATCATTGGGACGAACTGTGCCCCATCATTGGTGTCATTGGGCCTCATCCTTGCTTTCATTGGGATGAACTGTGCCCCATCCTTGGTTTCATTGGGCCCATCCTTGGTATCATTGGTATGAACTGTGCCCCATCGTTGGTGTCATTGGGCCCTATTCTTGGTATCATTGGGATGAACTGTGCCCTATCATTGGTATCATTGGCCCCATTCTTGATATCATTGGGACGAACTGTGCCCCAGCTTTGGTGTCATTGGGCCTCATCCTTGCTTTCATTGGGATGAACTGTGCCCCATCATTGGTGTCATTGGGCCCCATTCTTGGTATCATTGGGATGAACTCTGCCCCATCATTGGTGTCTTTGGTCCCCATTCTTGGTATCATTGGGATGAACTGTGCCCCATCATTGGTGTCTTTGGGCCCCATTCTTGGTATCATTGGGATGAACTGTGCCCCATCATTGGTGTCTTTGAGCCCCATTCTTGGTATCATTGGGATGAACTGTGCCCCATTATTGGTGTCTTTGGGCCCCATTCTTGGTATCATTGGGATGAACTGTGCCCTATCATTGGGCCCCATTCTTGATATCATTGGGATGAACTGTGCCCCATCATTGGTGTCATTGGGCATCATCCTTGGTATCATTGGGATGAACTGTGCCCCATCATTGGTATCATTGGGCCCCATCCTTGGTTTCATTGGGATGAACTGTGCCCCATCCTTGGTGTCATTGGGTACAATTCTTGGTATCATTGGGATGAACTGTGTCCCATCTTTGGTGTCATTGGGCCCCATTCTTGTTATCATTGGGATGAACTGTGTCCCATCTTTGGTGTCATTGGGCCCCATTCTTGTTATCATTGGGATGAACTGTGCCCCATCATTGGTGTCATTGGGCTTCATTCTTGGTATCATTGGGATTAACTGTGCCCCATCATTGGTGTCTTTGGACCCCATTCTTTGCATCATTGACATGAACTGTGCCCAATCATTGGTGTCATTGGACCCCATTCTTGGTATCATTGGGATGAACTGTACCCCATCATTGGTGTCTTTGGGCTCCATTCTTGGTATCATTGGGATGAACTGTGCCCCATCGTTGGTATCCTTGGTAGGAGTTTGTTGGTGTCAGTGGATTAAATAGTGCCCCAAGGGCCAGATAAAAGCAAGCAAAGGGCCACATCTGGCCCCCCGGTCCTCCGTTTGGAGACCACTGGTGTAGAGACACCTTAAGGTGGAGAAGAACATTCTGGAAGCCAAGGAACCATTAAGGAAACTCATCAAAGTATCTTTTCTGGGCAGATTGGTTCTTCGATTGGCTCCCAGTGGTCTGCGTGTCCATGGGTGTCAGTATGGCTGAGATGGGGATCCAGCTGAACGTTTGGTTGGAGTTCCACCTTAAGGACTGCCGAACTATATGTTCTATACGGGTCTAAATTGTACGAGGATTTCGGGGGTTTTTTCGGATACATTTTCGAAAGGCGAGGGTGAATCCCGTTTACCGTCCTCTGCCTCCACTTGCGTGACCTCGGAGGCAACTGGACACGGCGGACAAGGCCGCTGCGGCTCATTTTTAGCCATAGGTTGGACCCACGCGGGAGTCCCATAAAAAGATTAATGGGTCAATTACTACCTCAGCGTTACTAATGTGACCTTCGTCGGGAGCCAACGCCACCGTCCCGGATCCAGTTACTCGGAATGACTCCGCGCAGAGTTATCGAGGCCTCGTGGCTCAGGAGGATTATCCTGGTGGGGGGGGGACAGATGAAAACTCCATCCAGGCGGAGGGTTGCAGAGAAGGGGGGGGGCGTGCGTCCAGCAAGCTGTCCAGAGCCGCAGGGTGCGTCCTCGTATTACCAGCGCCGTCTTATCTCCGGATAAAATGTATCCAAACCTGAGAACAGAAATGGAACAAATCGCTTCTCGCTAGTCTTTAGAGGTGGTGACTGCGTTAGTTTTTTTTTTCCTTTTCAGGCGCTCTTTGAGGTTCACCTGAGGATCCTGCCAGGAGCACACTTGCTGTCCTAGGGTGACAACGTCCACTCACTGCGCTGTATCTAACCACGTGGAAGAAAAATATATTTGAAATATATTTAAAAAACATTCTTCCCAAATATATTGACATATATTTGAAATGCTACAATTTTGGCCGTATTCTATATAATTAAAAAATAAATTATATATATATATATATATATTTTTTTTTTTTTATGTATTTTTTTTTTTAATTATATGGAATATGGCCAAAATTGTAGCATTTCAAATATATGTCAATATATTTTATATATATATATACACAGTGATTCCGGCACTCAGTCTTTTTGGGGGAGGAGTCTATCAGCACGACACATCTTGAATCGGCAATATTTGTCCGCTCTTCCAAATCTGCCAGATGGCGAGGTCATCTCCTGCACACAGCCCTCTTCAGATGCCCCCACAGATCTTCCATGGGATTCAGGTCAGGTCTGGCTGGGCATTCCAACACTTTCCTCTTCTTCTGGTGAAGCCGTTCCTTTGTGGATTTGGATGGACGCTTTGGGTGGTTGTCATGCTGGAAGATGAAGTTCCTCGTCATGTTCAGCTTTCTAGCAAAAGCCTCTGAAGGTTTTGTGCCGATATTGACCGGGATTTGGACCTGTTCATCATTCCCTCTGCCTGGACTAAGGCCCCAGTTCCAGCTGAAGGAAAACAGCCCCAAAGCATGATACTGCCACCACCATGCTTCACAGTGGGTATGGTGTTCTTTTGGTGATGTGCAGTGTTGTTTTTGGAATTATGGCCAAAAAGTTCCACCTTGGTTCCATCAGACCAGAACACATTTCCCCACGTGCTGTTGGGAGACTTCAGATGTGTCTTTGCAGAATGTAGCCGGGCTTGGATGGTTTTCTTGGTAAGAAAAGTCTTCCGTCTTCCACTCCACCCCATAGACCAACATATGAAGAACACGGGCGATTGGTGTCACATGGACCACAAACCAGGACTGGCCACATATTCCTGCAGATCCTTTCATGTTGCTGTAGGCCTCTTGGGCCGCCTCCCAGACCAGTTTTCTTCTCGTCTTTTCATCCATTTTGGAGGGACATCCAGTTCTTGGTGATGTCACTGTTGGTGATGTCACTGTTGATGATGTCACTGTTGGTGGGGTCACTGTTGATGATGTCACTCTTTTTTATGTTACACTTGGTGATGTCACTCTTGGTGATGTCACTGTTGGTGAAGTTACTCTTGGTGA